GGCTTGTTTTACAACGTCGTTGCCAAGCGACGAAAACCCAACCCCGATGGCAAACATCGGGAGGGGCTGGGGAATTCACGAAGTGAATTGGCTTGTTTCACAACGTCGTTGCCAAGCGACGAAAACCCAATCCCGATGGCAAACACCGGGGGGGGCGGCTTGTTTTACAACGCCGTTGCCAAGCGACGAAAACCCAACCCCGATGGCAAACATCGGGAGGGGCTGGGGAATTCACGAAGTGAATTGGCTTGTTTCACAACGTCGTTGCCAAGCGACGAAACCCAATCCCGATGGCAAACACCGGGGTGGGCAGCTTGTTTTACAACATCGTTGCCAAGCGACGAAAACACAACCCGTTAGCGGTGGCACAGAGCGTAGCGAGTGACGGTTGGTCTGGTGCGAGAAAGAGCGGCATGATCTTGGAGCTGGCCGGGGTTCGTAGATGGTAGCTTGGTTTTGCGCTTGGGTATCAAACGCTTGGGTAACAAGCGCGCACTCAAATCCCACTTGTGTTGGTTGTGTCTCTACCTGCATGCCTGCCCGTCTGCCTGTCTGTCTGCCTGCCTGTATCTCTGCCTGCATCTCTCTCATTCCCCTTGCGTGAGACGTACACATCCTTGGTTGCTCATTTCGTGACATTAAAAATGCTGCAATCCTCTCGCCTGGGCAGGACACGCCAGCTCCGCCAACCCGTCAGCCTCGAACTCCCGCACGCGCTCGAAGAGGGACGAGTGGATAACGCTGTGCTCCGATATGAAACCCAGAGCGGCCGTCCTTCCCCCTTTCCCCTCCCCGTCGAACCGCAGGTGCCCAGCTCCTCGGTCATCCCAAACCTTTCCGTTTCGGGTGCCGTTACAGGTGCCAAAGAGTCTCAGGGTTGGGATGGAGATGTACCAGGAGTCGTTGGAAGGAAATACAGACTTGTGCGAGAATCGTTGCGATGCGTTTCGACGTCTCATCTCCAAGCCAATCGAATGAAACAGACTCACGTGCATACAAAAGGTCAACACGTTGTTCGATTGGTGTATCATCTCGAATTATTGACGCTACCATCGCATTTTTGCTAATGTGTGCATGCTGTCGAAAAGCAGCTGGTACGCTAAACACGTAATGCAAACATAACAGTGTTGTGTATCTCGAAAAGGTTTCGTAGAGAAGTCAACGTTGCCCTTCTGGGGCGTCGCAGATTCCTCTGAAAATCCCCCCTCCCCCCCCCGGTGTTTGCCATCGGGATTGGGTTTTCGTCGCTTGGCAA